CACACACACACACACACACACACACACACATCCCTCCTCTCCCTTCACTGTCTTCAAACATTGGATGACACGCCTTCAGAAGATAGGGTAGGTCTCTACCCTCTGCTGAGCTTGCATTGTGGAACCAGTGAAGAAAAGCTGAGTGGGGAACTGGGCTGCCCGGGTGACAGGCTGTGGCCCGGGGGAGGTCCCGGGCGGCCTGGCCGGGCAGGGCACCCGGTTGGGGGCCCCGGGGGGTTCAGACCCCCTTTCGGCTGCTGCTGGCCTCCTGCAGGCCTACTGGGTCCGCCCGGCCCAAAAAACCTCAGTGTCGGGCCCAGTAGGTCTGCTTTGTTTTTTGAGTTTATCGTCGGCTCTGTGGCTGTCGATCTTCCATGATCGACGGCCACAGAACAGTGGGATCTTGGCGCCAAAATCCCTCCCCCCCCTTCAAACCTTCGATCGGCTGGGGTGGTCTGCCACTCGCCCCCCAGCACGATCCCAGTTGCCAACCTCCTCCTGCTGCGCCGTCGCCCGTCGCCATCACCATCAGGTGTGCAGCTGCTGCTGCTCCGACGAAGGCCCCGACTCTCCTGCCGCTGCTGCTACGACGAAGGCCCCGACTGTCCTGCTGCTGCTGCTACGACGAAGGCCCCGACGACGAAGGCGCCATTCTTCTTCTTCTTCTTCTTCGCGCCTGTCGCCCCTCGCCCGTCACCCATCGCCCGTCGCCATCGCCATCAGGTGTGCAATGAAGGCCCCGACTGTCCTGCCGCTACTGCTACGGCGAAGACCCCGACTGTCCTGCTGCTGCTGCTACGACAAAGGCCCTTGTGCTACGACGAAGGCCCCGACGACGAAGGCGCCGTTCTTCTTCTTCTTCTTCTTCTTCTTCTTCTTCTTCTTCTAGTTCATCCACATTCGGTAGGTGACGTGAGACATGGCAGGTTACAAAAAAAAAAAACAAAAAAACACGACCGTCCTCCTCCCCCTACTTCTCCGCTCATCTTCTTCTTCTTCTTAAAAGGGCCTTTACTCGTCAATACCCCATTCAGACCCTCTAAAAGAGAATCAGCGTTAAAGGGGTGAAAAGGGAACCCCGTGGAAGGTTCAAAATACAGCGTCCAAAGGTAAAGCACTTTGAACAGGTGCGAATGGGACCCAGCCAGCAAGTCAACAGACGAGTAGACAAACGAAAAGTCACCTCTGGGGGTCAAAAGTCACATCTCTGAAAGAAAGCAAAGGTCTGTCGAACAGTCAACATGCATCTGCACACGAAGCTACAGAAAGGGAATGTATGTAAAAGAACTTGCATTCATTTGAGGGGGGGAAATGCAGAATGTCTGTTCATTTTGAGAATGTGCCTGTTCGCTTAGATTTGTGTCTGGCCGTGGGTACAGCTAACTAAAAGTGTCCCAGTYYTKTMTTAAGTYTAGAGGGCAGTCCAGATCCAGTCCTGYCARTCCAAAGGCTAGGCCGGTGGCCTCAAATTCAAGCAGTACCTCGTGGGAAAAGAGATGGGACTAATGCAATGCAGATCTGGGCCAGGCCGAAGTACCAATTCAGAGGCTGAAGCTGCTCGCCAAGATTATAAAAGAGGCAGTGAGCCTCCTGGAAGCTCATTCCCCACTGGCATGGAAGTGCTGGCCATTTGTGCGCTAGAGTGGGAGGTGAAGTCAGCGCTGGAAGCAAGAAGTGGCGCAGGAAGAGCGTGAGGGCGCTGGCTGGATGAATGCAGCCATAGCTGCCCTGTTGAGATAGGATGTTAGCCTACTAGTTGGTGTTCTATCTGTGAGTGTATTCTGAACGAGATCTTCATGAGACAAGAGAGATAATGTGCCCGTGAGAGAGAGGAAGAAGTAAGGAGGAGAGAGAGAGAGGAGAAGATGTCACTTACCTGAGTAATGCTGTACTTCGACATGATGATGTTGCTGCGCTGGTTTCCATATTGATGGGATGATGAACAGAGTTGATTTATGAGCTGATGAACTTGAGAGACTGGAAGTTGATGTAATCAGACATTTTTGATAATATAAGCAGCGGCAACGCATCTCTTCTCTACCTTTGTCTATGGGGGACAGGGAACTCTTCTCTACCTTTGTCTATGGGAATGGGACATCTCTCTTCTACCTTTGTCTAAGGTAACGAGTACATTGGTAACCATGACATCTGGATGACTGGTTCGTGGTATAATGGTCTCTGGATCCATGCATTCTTTTCTCCTCGTCGTCATCTCGTCTTCCACTTCTTCCCCTCCTCCACCTCGTGTTTTCATCTTTCCCCTCGACCTTTCTTGATCTTCTTCTTCTTCCCCTCCTCACCTCTCTTCTTCTTCTTCTTCTTCTTCTTCTTCTTCTTCTTCCTCTCCCCTCATTAGGTCTTCTTCTCTCCTCGTCTTCTTCTTCCCCTCCTTCCCTACTCCTACCTGCCTTTCTCCATAACCTACCGCCGCCGCCATACCCTATCGCAGCCATACTTTTCCCCCATCTTCTTCTTCTTCTTCTTCTTGTTCTTCTTCTTCTAGATCATTCGGCAGATCACGTGAGATATGACAGGCCGTCCACCTACCCCTCGCCCAACCCCTCACTCGGCTCATCTACTTCTACTTCTTCTTCTCTCCTCCTCCTCCTCCACTCGTCTTCTTCGTCTTCCCCTCGTCCACCTCACACTTTCATCTTCCTCCATAACATTTCATCTTCTTCTTCGTCTTCCCATTCTCCCCCACTCATTTTCTTTCTCCTCTTCATCTTCTTCTTCTTTTCTTCTCCTTCTTCTTCTTCTTTTCTTCTTCTCCTTCTGCTTCTTCTTCTTCTTCCAGTTCGTCGACATTCGGTAGGTCACGTGAGACACGTTAGGTTATTAAAAAAAAAAAGAAAACGAAGGCCGTCCTCCTCCCCCTCCTTCTTCGGTCATCTTCTTCTTCTACTTCTCTCCTCGTCGTCCTCTCGTCTTCTTCTTCTTCCCCTTCTCCCCCTTGCATTTTCATCTTTCTCCTCGACCTTTCTTCATCTTCTTCTTCTTCTCCTCCTCAGCTCTCTTCTTCTTCTTCTTCTTCCTCCCCCCTCATTAGGTCTTCTTCTCTCCTCGTCTTCTTCTTCCCCTCCTTCCCTACTTCTCCCTGCCATTCTCCATCCTCCATCCTCCATCCCTCCCTCCCTCAATCCCATCTCGCCATCCTCCATCATCCATCCATCCATCACTCCCTCCATCCCATCTCCCCATTCTCTATCCTCCATCATCCATCCC